TTTTTTTTGGGGGGGGGGGGTTGGGTTTTTTTTTTTTTTTTGCCCTTTTGACTTTACTCGTCTCTGGCAGGAAAAAGACTTCTGAGGGAACGTATGATCTTCCTCACTTGGATAGCACAGGTACGTCATCGCCGTGCAGGACAGCTCAGTTTGCCTGGATGTGTTTTGTGGACTTACTGTTGCACCTCTGTGCATCTGTAGCAGACTGGTGGAAAAGCATGAAGCAGCTACTGCCCTCCAAGATGGTGGAGACGGAGGATTCGGTGCGATACAGCAGCAGTGAAGTCAGCCGGCTAACGGGGAGGGGTGTCGTACCAGGGCTACATGCTGAACCTGCAGGTAAATGCTGTCGCCTGCAGTAGCTGCTGAAGTAACCAGGCGTTCTTAGTACAGTGCTAATTTTGTCGAATTAGGTTTGTATTTATTGACATGCAGTGTTGGAAAAATGCATCTGCAGCCATCCTGATTTCTTTTTTTAAATATTGTTTTTATGCATATTTGTTACACTTATACATTTCAGATCATGAAACTAATTTTAATCTTAGACAAAGAAAACCAGACTAAACACACAGTGCGGATTTTAAATGATGATTTATTTTATTGAGGGGGAAAAAGTGATTCAGACCTACGTGGCCCTGCGCGAAAATGTAATTGCCCCCTAAACCTAATAACAGGTTGTGCCACCCTTGGCAGCAAAAACTATAACCAAATGTTTGCAGTAACATAACGACTAATCTTTGACATCACTGCAGAGGAATTTAGGACGGCTCTTCTTTGCAGAATTGTTTTAATTTAGACACATTGGAAGCTTTTCCCAGCATGAACAGCTTGTTTAAGGTCTTCTCATTGTCCTGCTGCGTAACCCAGGTGTGCGTGAGCTTCAAGGACTTCCGGAAAAAAACAGAATTCAGGATTCCACCAATGACTGCAGTTAAGTTACCCTGAAGCAGCCCTAGTCCATGACACTACCACCACCATGTTTGACTCTTGGTTTGATGTTGTTCTGGGGTCTTTTGTGACCTGGATGAGTTGTCGATGTGCAAAGTTTTGTTGAAATTTCTCCTATTGTGGATTGTGTGGTTCACTGGAACCTTAGAAATGCTTTTGTAGCCCTTTTCTACTTTAGCTCCAGACTGATAGTTGTCAGTGACTTTGTTTCACAGCTGTTTCTTTAGCTTGTAGCATGATGTGTTGCTTTTTGAGATCTCTTAGCCTGCTTCAGGTTCGAAAGGTACAACAGGTTCTGTTTGAGTGATTTCTTGATTCAACAGGTCTTAATCAGGTCTGGTTGTGGAGAGTGACATTTACCACAGGTTTCCAAAAAATGTCATTAATCACAGTTAAGTGGGGGAAATAGTATTTTACTCCCCTTAATAAATGATATAATTTAAAAACTCTAAATTTGGTGTTTACTTGTGTTAATTGGTTCAGATCAAACCAATTTTAAGTGTGACAAATATGCAAAAAAATAACAAATTGGGAAGGGGGCAAATATTTATTCACAACACTGTAAAATGTGTTTCTATCTAGTGTTTTCTTTTTCACACAAATCCAGAATCAAAGACTTTCACTTCCTGGCTGTAGCACTTAGCTCTGAGTGCACACATTCAATATCTGAGTGGTATTTATCTGATGTCCTCTAAATAAATCACACTTCTTAACATGTCTAAACTATTTTTATCAGTTAACTGTTGGTTTTGTTCTTTCTGTAGAGTATTTGGCTAAAAAAAAAAAAAAAAAGGATTGAATAACATACTTTTATATATACCAGTTTTTCCCACTTCAGGGCAGAGTTAAGTTTTGGGAGAGATTAGATATCCAATTAGTTCCACTAATTGCAGGGTTAGCGGTTTGATTCCCCACATCCTGGATTGCTGCTACAAACCTCTGTGCAGCTGCAGATTGCTTCAATAAAATTAGAAAGTTAAAGGCTTTTGTAACATAGAAATTCAATTGTTAATCTGTTTCCTTAGTTGCTTTGCATTCTAGAGAATTTGGGAGCAATTTCAAGAAGTAACCTGGTATCTGTATGATGCCCTTGATTTTTAATATTTCTTTACTGTACACTTTCCTTTCAGAATATGCCCAACCACTCGTAAGTGGCGTAACAACATTAGGAGCAAGGTCAACCTTTAAACCAGATGATGGGCCTTCCCCAAGATACTCTGATCCAGACCTGTATGACGCCCCCATCTCTTCAGGTTTATGCCACGCTTACGCCGAACCCCTGCCATCTTCAGGATCTGAATACGCTACGCCCATTGTGGTTGACATGGGTTTGAAGCAGCCCTCGACTTTGTGTAATTTCATGGGCACCAGGCCCGGCTCACTGCATCCATGGACAGACAGTGGCCAGTCAGGGAGCACTGCATACGATAGACCCAAAACCTCCACTGAACTTGCCACACCCACTGAGGATCTGACTTATCAGGTACCTCAAAAAAGCACTCAAAAGCCAACAGGACAGGGCTGAAAAGCTTGAATGCACATGGCCTTAATCTGCCCCTCATTACCAACGCGACCCAGAGGATAAAGATGGGGTTGAGTTGAGAGCCGTTGAGCTTTGTGCTTGAGTCTTGAATGAACACTACCTTCGCTTTAGATTCATCCGGAGATGTCTGTTTCCTAATTGTTTCTGCATGGCCACAAACAGCTTGTGTAGTGCCATTAGAGTCCTATCACTGAAATCACAAAGATGAATGTGCTCGTGCCAGGCGTGAGTCGGAAATGGATGAACGGAAAGAGTGGAGGGTGAAAAGAAGAAAGCTGACTACTATTTGATAAAGACTTTGTCCCTGTTTTGTGAGTTTTATTTTTTTTTCTCTTTTTAAAGGTCTTGCATCCTGTGAAACTGTGATTTCCATTCTGCCGCTGTCTGTTACACACTAAACTAGATCCAACTGAAATGTACCCGATGATTTACATCCATCGAATCTGAGGGTTTTCGTACTGAATTAATTGCATGTTGAGGAGTTTCTCGTTTGCAGCGAGACTCTTGCTTTCCACGGTACGTCGTTGTCTTATTTTGTTTTAAAAGCATGACTTGAAATTGTGTATAGTTCTAGTAATTCCATTACTGCAATCCTGTTTAAAAACTCAAATGATTTATGAATATTTATTTTTTATTTCACATCCTGCTGATAAGGAGAGACTCTTTAATAGTAAGCATCCCGCCACTCAGTAACGCGCTGTTATCGACACCTGACTGACAATAAATTTTGTTTTATAGATGTATAAAAGAAAAGGTCAGGAGAATCAATCCAGTGAACGTCCAAAAATCCTTTGAAAATACTCTTTTTGTAGTATTGGGAGACCAAATGTTGCCTTTTCTGTGTTTATGCAATGTTGATTCACAACAGAGCAGACTTTCACAATCGTGCCAACATCCCAAGTTTAGCCAAATAAACATTTGCGCAGTCTTAAAACTGATTTATTTTTTTCTGTTTTCTACATTGTTGGATGAAAGAAAAGGTACAAGTAAAAAGCGGTAGATGAGCAAACATGTTACAGCTGTGATAACTTTATAGTTTGTGTGTTTCTTAGATCGTGTTTTGTGGATCGTGGTGATTGTCTGGTGATGAAATTGGGTGTTGTGACTTGTTCCATTATTCGTATCTCTGTGCATCAGTGTCTGTACGTGCGTAAAGCTGTCGTCATATTTTGGCCTTGTGGGGTTTTTGGACAATTTACAGTGTGGCTTATAGTAGGACGTCGTCTGTAGCACCGATAGACCTGCGTTCCTCTCCTTCGCCTGTGCTACTCATGTGCAGGTGGAGGAGAAATGCAGAACAAGCTGCTTCATATCTTTTACAAGAACAACAACCTGATCCTAAAGGTGTTGTTCCAACAGCTGTGCCACTGTCACGCTTTGATCGTGCTCAGTAACCAGTTTTCCAGAGCTCCAGGTGCTCCCTGGTCACAGAAGGGTTGAGTTTGTGGCTCTCACTGATTGTATATAGAAATAAAGAGTTTTTAAAAGAAAATGTTGTAGTTCTTGCTATTTTTCAAGAAGATTTACTAATTATTTGTCTGTTTCTGTTTAATGTTTGGTGAAAGAGGTTCTGGGTTGAATCCAGCCCGGCGGCCTTTCTGTGTGGAGTTGGATGTTCTCGTTGTCTGTGTGCGTTCTCTGGGTTCTTCTGCAGGTATTCTAACTTCCTCCCACAGTGCAAAGACATGCATGGGTTTAGGTTAATTGGTGACTCTGAATTGACAATAGGTGTTAATGCGAGTGTTGGAGGGTTAACAGTCTTTGTGTTAACCCTCCAACAGGTTAGTGGCCTGTCCTGGGTGTACTCTCCCTCTTGCCCTATGACAGCTTGGATTGCCTCCATCCCATCTATGACCCCGAGCTGGATAACTGGAAGAGAATGGATGGATGTTTTTCCTTTGTTTTTGTTTTTTTGTGAAAGCTTTTTAACGTGACAACCCCACACCATAAAAGATGCCTCCCCCTTTATTCTGAACTGTGAGCTATCAACTTGCTAAATACTGCCACGTGTTATGTTCATGTTCTCTCCCCACCCCAGAAAGATTAACATGGGTATCAAACTACTTCCTCAGGATTTGCTTGTCCAGTGTGTTGGACTGCCAGTGTAGCAGTTAACACATGGAAGACTGACAGGAGACAAAATCCCAGTCTAAGAAACTAGAGTACTCCCAGCCCCAAGCCTGGATAAATGGGATAGTGTAAAATCGAATCTACAATCAAATGTGGCTCAATCTGCTGCGGTGAGCCGTTGGGAAATAAGAGAGGGGCCAAAGTACCTTCAGTACATTTATTTGACAAAAACTGAAAAATTACACCCACTTCCTTCAACCTGCCCATGCTTGTAGTCTCAATTTGTAAGTCTGTGAAGGTAACTTGGTACAGCAATATGCTAACAACTGAACCTGTAAATGTTTGCATTTAGCTAGGCTGCAGATTCTTAGTACTGTCAAATGATGGTGTGGTGTGAAGTAGCTATCGCCAAGACAGAAACAACGCTTGATTCAACAGGTCATTTTAATTATAATCCTTTATTTAATTTTAAGATGTGGCACTTTGACAGTTTGTGCACACAAGGATGCAGGAATACACTCTGCATTAGGAAAATAAAAGTTGGATCTGTGCTTTTGTTAATGTAAGAATTCTAATAAATATTTATACATATTAACAGTACATGAGAAATGGTGTGTATTATAAAAGCAAACTTCAGCAAGTAAAAATCAAGTAAACACAGCTCAGATGTGTAAACACAGCAGCACCACGATAAACCCGTCACACGCGTGGATCTGAAAAAGAACGTTTTCCTTCACGTGCTGCCGCAAAATCAAACATTCCTATTTAAACCATTTTCCCCATCCATCATTTACTCACAAATGTTTAGCACTTAGCTTTTTGTTTCTTAAAAAAAAAAAAAAAACTTCAAATCAATCCAGCAATAATCTCTTTTAATCTGCTTGTAAGTTTTTCCCAGCATTCCTCTCATTAGTTTCCTGAAGCACCTCTTCTTCTTCACTCCTTCATGTTCTTCCCATCTTTTCCAAACTTCCACCAGACCACCGTGAGGACGACAGCTGTCAGGAGGATCAGGCTGCTGGTTACGAGGTAAGCAATAGGCAGGAAATGGTTCTGACCTCCAAACCAGGTCACCGTTGTCAGCACCACTTCCTTTCTGCCTCGAAAATACTGCACGGGAAAGTCTGAAAGAGCAGGAGGTCAAGGCCAAAAATATCTGATCAAAGAGAAGCGTGTTTAAATTGAATAACAAAAGATGGAGGGAAAGTGCATTTGGGAGTTAAGATGCCTCTAACACAGTGAAAGGATACTGTAGGTTATATCGATGCTGTAATTGCCTGCTGGAAGCCCCTTCGTGAAGGGGTTGTCGTTTCGGAATAAGATTCCATAAAGTTTCTTGAAGTTGGGGAAAGCTGCCTCCCTCATCCATACAATGAAATCGTCATTGATAAAACCGTTGTTCATGGGATTGGAGGGATCGAGCTTGTACACGGGCTTCTGCCAGTATGGGGGTGGAGCCGTTCCTGTGGGGAAAACATTTAAAATGTGACACAAAATGATTTCTGAGGAAAGAAAAAAAAAATTCCTTCTTTACCTTCAAACACTTCGGCTAGAGTCAAGTTGTCAGTCGTTGGGTTGCGGAACTTGATGTATTTGTCCGTGTACCACGTGAGGCCTTTCCGCATCAAAGGAACCTCACCTCTGCCGTTGGGATGATGATACCACAGGATGAAGGAGTCTGGGAAAACACATGCAAGTTAAGAGTGACGGGAAGGGTAGAGCAGCTAACTGATGCAGTGTGTTTTGAGTTGTTTACCGTTGAAGATGCTGTTAGCCACAGCGCCACAGGGAGCAATCGGGCGTCCGCTGGGATCTTTCAAAAATGGCTCACAATATGAACTTGGGTCCTAGGGAAGATGTGATATTTAATCAAGTCGAGCATTCAAGTAAAATTCAAGCTTCTTCAGCTTTAAACACTACAACGCATGTCTGGTAGCTGAAGATTCATGCATGTGGTCCCGAAACACACTAAAATAAGGTCTGTCATAGATTCAACTACCGAAGGTTAATTTTAACTCCGCCAACAACATGAAAGCGCTGCTTCCACTAATCACCCAGCATTATCAGGGGTGTGGCTCATCCGTACTTCTGTTTTTTTATCTTCACAAACCAAGTACAACAGATGACATGACTTAGCTTTAGTGACCATACAAGTCAAAGTTTCTGCATGATTAGTGTGGTCCTGTTTCTATAACGGCTCTTTGGGGCTGAACATCTCAGAGAAGCCGTGTTGTGGGAGGAGATGAGCATCTCCTAATGCTGCCCAGCCTCTTCTTTAACCTCTGGAGTTAGACGGATCCATCCCTTTATTCAGAACTGTCACTCCATGCATAAGGTGACCCAGCAGCTTTATGCATCACACTGGGGAGAAACTTCACGTAACTTAACATCTTATTTTGTCTCAGAGTCAAATGAAGTTGACCACTGAAATAAAACAGCAGGTACTGCCCAGTGCACGCTGTCAGTTTTATATACAGGCAGTACTCTTCACACCCAAAATAACTTCAACTTCTTTCAACTGCGCCCATCAAGATGCAGCTGATTTAAAAAAAATAAAAGGAGAAATGATGTGCTTTTCCCCCACTTAAACAAGTATGGAATTAATACTCTTAGAGTCCAAGAAGAAAACCACTGATGACTAAAAAGAACACATTTGCCAAAAATCGTCTTGAAAATCCCCAGAACTTTTGGGAAAATACTCTGTGGACTGACGAGACAAAAGTTGAACTTTTTGGAAGGTTTGAGTCCCGTTACATCTGGTGTAAATCTAACACGTTTCATAAAAGATCACACCAACAGTCAAACATGGTGGTGGTTGCCTGCTGGTCTGCAGCTGCTTTGCTGCTTCAGGACAATGGTGAAATGCTGTAGTTGATGAAAACATGAATTCTGCTCTCTACCAGAAAACCCCGAAGGAGAATGTTCTGCGATCACTAAAGCTCCAGCGTACTTGGTTATGCAGCAGGACAATGATCCGAAACTTCCGAAAGTCACCTCTGAATGACTCCAGATACATTTAAATGAATGTTTTGGAGTGGCCTAATCAAAGTCCACACTTAAGGCATGACCTTAAACGGGTCATTCATGCTAGAAAACCCTCGAGTGAGGCTGAATCAAAACAATTCTGCAAAAAACAAGTGGTTCAAAATTCATCCAGTGATGTGAAACACTCAACGCCAGATACAAAAACTTGACTACAGTTCCTGCTGCCAACGGTGGCGTCACCATTGATTAGGTTTAGGGGGCAATTACTTTTCATGACATGACGATGATACCTTTAAATTTTTCTTCCTTCCAACCGTCTGCCCATCATCTCTGGAGTCCATGTATCTGCGAAGGTTCTGATGAAAGTTACGGAGTCCGTAATAGAAAAAGACATCTCCCTGGGACACACACACACACACACACACATTCACATCGTCAAGTGGATGAGTGTAGAACCACAAATCCTAAAATGAATTTAAGCTTTAAGCTTCAAAGCACAGACAACAAACGCAAGCACTGACAGTGGGGCCTGTTAGATACAGAGTGTGAGAGTAATAATCTTCACACGAGACCCGCTTCCAAGCTGTTTCAGAGCTTTGTGCCATACTTAGCGTGTGCTACTGAGGCCTCTGGAGTAAGATTATAAGTGGCCCTCAAGTTAGGATTATGTTGTCACTCTGTGCCGAGAGGTTCTTACCTTAAATGGTTTGTCAATCCTAAAATTGACTGTGCAGGTGCAGGGCTTGTTTGCGTTGCTCACATTTTTACGCATTTCAAAACACTCGTTGCAGGTTTCAGCCTCTGTGTAGTCCAGCTGAAAAGACAACGAGAGAGAGAGAGAGAGAGGGGAAAGTGCAGATAGTGAACTTGATCTTAAACTTTTTCAAACATAACCTTCGACCTTTCCTCATGTTGTCACACCCTGTTTTTATTGCACACAGAGGCATTGGGGCCTCTCTGACATGAACAAAGACAAATGCATAGCGCTCTTACGCCATCAAATTTCTAGAACTGAAAGTGAGTGTTTAGAAGCAAATGTGGTTTTCACTCACCTTCATTTCCTGGGTGTTCTGCACAGTGAGAAGCAGCCATACTCCCAACAGCAGACACATCAAAGCCATGAAGTAGAAAAAAGGCAGCACGGTGTTAGCAGTTAGCATTGGAGACCAGGCAGGTAACCGCTGCTGTTTGAAAGCAGAGTTGTCGGGTCTCCGAGCCAAGGGCCCGGGCTTGCCTTTCACCTTCCCCATGAGAGCGAGAGCTTTGGCTTCAGAAGAAGAACTTGATTGACAGCTGGAGACTCAAAAATTGCGTGTAAACCAGCCCTCCTCTTGTCTTCCTGTTTTTTATTTCAGCGATATCTCTCTGCACACACACTCACACACCCCTCTGCTTGCCAAGGGATTTTCCCAGCAGGCTTTGCATCGTGGGGGCGACCGTTGTGTCCTGTTACTTATTAACCGCAATTCTTTACTCAACTACCTCTTTCTGTTACTTCCAATTTACCACAAGATTGTGTACTTCCGTCCTACAACACACAGACAGAACAGCATTTTATATCGTCACTGGCTGCGGGAGATATCGGGGTGGTTCTGGGCCCCTTTCTATCTGTAGGATGCTGAATGGGGCTCCCCGGTGGTTTAAGTAAACTCATGACCTCACATTGTCAGTCGGGGGGACTTTCCAAGGTCAGAGTAAACAAAAAAAGGATGTGGCTTTAATTTGAAGTCTGTTTATTCATTCATCACACTCCCTGACATTGTGTTGGTCACAAAAGTGAACAAACAATGCCGTACATTTCACACAGGCTCTGGAAATATTAAAAGCTCGTGACAGGATCAGCACAAGGAATATTGAAGACAAAGTCTCTTTAAATGTCAAGCAAGTCAGTTAAAATAGTCCAATTTTGACTTTATCTTCCTTACAGCGAGCCAAGACACCACTCTCCAACAGCTTCATAAGATCCTGTTTGATCTGAAAAAAAGAGGCAAATATGAAGTGAAATTAAAAGGGAACGAAAAACTAAAAGATCCTCTCCAAAAAGATTACTCTGCAATGCAAATAGGGTTCAATATTGAATAACTTTTAGTTCCTTCTATCTAATATTGTAGGTTCTCCTTGAGGCGACAGTTGCTGGATTTGGTGCCATGTAAATGAAATCAAAATGAACTGAATTTCAATGTAAAGTCTTTTCTTACTATAATAATTGTAGCATATGCATATCTATATGTCAACTTGTACCACCTCACCTCTTTAACAGGTGCATCAATCTGAATGAAACTTTGCATAAACATCACTTATAACCAGGAGCATCTGTGACTTCTATTAGTTAACCAAAAGTATCAAATGGATCAGGTGAGAAGAGCAGACAACACAGCTATGGAAGTTCCCCCACAGCCATTTTCTTGCTCCTTAACCCACGCTCTGTGCCACCTCCACAGTGTCATCAGCTTACAGCATACACCCAGTGCATTGCACACACAAAATAATGGAAGGTCAAAATATTAATTCAGGATAAATGTTTAGGATATTTAAAATAATGGAAATATTTGAAACGATTCACATTTTAACGCTGTTTTTGCCGGAGACATTAATTCTAGGAAAACAAAACTAAAGTCAAATTAGCCAGGCTTCAGAATCTACGACTAAACAAATATGTCCAGTTTTTAAAGGGTTAACCGCAGGAAAAAAGTCATAATGGTTTAAAACATCCCACGTTCATAAAGTATATGTTCAATTAAAAGATCTCCACTAATTTCTTCCTCCTTTCTTGTAGACAACAAGCCAAATCTAAAATAAAAAAAAGTGCATCATAAATAATTAAACTAATTTTCTTCATAATGTATTTTAAAAGTTAACTTTTACACAGGAGTGAAATATTTAAAGGTTTTTCTGTTTTAATGTTGATGATTATTACTTACAGATCATAAAAATCAGGAATCCAGTTATTCAAATTATTACAACATTTGATTTCAAATTTGAGTAACGTGCTGATACATAAAAATGTCACTTTTTGACATCAATATTTTTTCAATCTTAGCATTTCTTTAATTTTTTCAGGTGATCTCTTTTCTCTTTCTTTGTTAACTAAAGAAATAAGTTTCCAATCTTAAGCGCAGCTTTACGGTGAGATCCGAGAAACGATGATCAGGGAAAATCTGCATGTTAATTATTATAAACAAAAGAAAAAGAAGCTCCAAGTCAAAGTGGAGTAACAGCAATAAAAACACATTTTTCTAGCCCAGCAGGGGGCAGTAGCTCACCTCAGGAATGTCCACCATCCTTCTGAGCTTCTGGTCCCTCCAGTTCCAGTCCAGAACCAGGTATCTCAATGCCTGCAAGCTCAAACCCTCTGGGGAACAAAATCAGAGTGAGAAGACTTCAAAAGCTTTGAAGTTAAACGAAAGAGGCCGATCACAAACACACACCTCTCTCAACGAGAGCGCTGATCCTCCCTGGTGTCCCCACTCCTATGTGGTAGATGCCTTTCTGCAGCAGCTTCACCTGCTCTTCTATCTATGCAAAAAAAATGACACAGACAATCATTCTATGAAATCATTCACAGTTCACAATCTACACACCGCCTGTGATTAACAGTCATCTCCATTACCTTGATATGTTTCGCAAAAAGCTTCACAGCTTTGGCTTCACCCTTGAAACTAGTCAGCTGTCTGTGGATGACACAAACAAACATCATTCCCGTCACTTTAATTTGAAAGTGGTAACTGGAGAAACACGACAAACATCAGTGGTCTGTCACTTACTTAATGAGCTCGATGGTTCGGAGAGCAGAGCTGCAGACGACAAGCAGAACCACAGAACTTTTTTCCATGTGCTGCTTTTGAATCTTTGCCCACTTGGGAGCAACTAAGAGGAAAACAGAGCAATTAAAGTGATGGGTGTTTATAAGTGGAATCTAATGGAAGACTTGGTCAAAGTTTGCAACGGCACTCACTCTGTTTTAGATAAGAAGAGAGGGTGTGTGTCAAGTCATTACTGGACAGGAAAAAGGAGTCTGGAGGATGGGAGAGGACACGCTGATCTCTGTGAGTCAACATTTCAGCAGATATCGACTGAATGTGCAAGCTTAGGGTGATTTGCCTTGACTCACCCTGCACTTTGAGCTCCTCCTGCTCGATTACAGACCGCTTGTCTTTAAAGTACTGCGTAACCAGATCCTGCAGGTCAGCTGGACAGCCTGGTTTTGGCTCAGAGGTGGCCAAGACATCTGTTATTGTTTTCTTTTTCTAAAACAAAAACAAAACAAACAAACACACAAGTAAGAACCCCAGAAGCAGCCAAATGATAGCCCCACTTTAACCAGTGCACACTGTTGTAGTTGATATTTGCAACACCAGGTGTCGCCACTCCCACCTTCCTCTTTTTGGGGGGTTTAGCAGACTTTTCATCCTGAGCCTCCTTCCTTGGAGGGATCATCTGCTCGTTCTGTGACAACAGTACATGCAGAAAACACAATTCAGGCAATTTATGTTAATGAACATTTGAAATTCTAAATACAAATTAAATTAAAACCTAATAATCCTCCGAGGTAAAGAGCACATTTTATAATAAAATTTAAATGTGTCAAATTATATTATATTACATTAAAAGTACATCAAAATGTCCAAATGCTAGGAAAAAAATCAAAGGATTGAAATTTCCGTCATCAGTTACTATGATAATTGTTTTTAACACTCTGGTTTATTCACTGTCTCAAAGAATGAGGGTGTATGTATAAGTATGTGGTGGACATTTATTTTGAAGGTATTCCATTCATCTATCCTGACTTCTTTCTTCTTCCTTGCCAACGACTGTTGAAATGACCATTTGTGCCTGTGAACTGGTTGACTACAAAATGACAAGGACAGGCTCAGTCTTTTGCCCTATTAATATGATACATTTTCTTACACACTCTATACTGTAAAAACATCAAATAGGCAGCCTTTGTAGAGAAAGGACATAACAACCTGCTCATTATTTTTCTTCTTGGCTTTAGCAGGCTTCTCTGTTACAATCTTCCTCTTCTCTGGTTTAGTCTTTGTTTTTTCTGCTGGCTTTTTCTTTTGTTCCGTCTCCTCCTCCTCCACCTCAGATGCATCTGGGAAACAGAGGGAGAATTTCCTCATTAAACTGGCAAAAGAGCAAATGCGTCCACACCTCAAACTATATTTAGTTCAGGTGAGGAACAGGAGAGACACTGTCAGCAGAGTAAAATGGGCACATTTAATGCGAAGGATTTGCAAATTGCTCTTTACAAGTTTTGGTTTTATGGGTTAATTTGTAACTGTGCACACTATGACAAGAAGAAAATTGCTAAGAAGGGCCAACACCACGCTTGTTTAGTTTGATCCTTGGGCCAGTGATCTGCAAAGTGTGTTCAAGTCTTTGGGTTATTCATCAGGTGTGGCTGCGAGTGCACGTTTCAGTCAGAACTACACATCTAAATGCTACCTGAGGTAACAACAATGCAGCAGATCTCAAACAACGCATATGGTTATATTTAGCCTCCCTGTTGCTACCACTTCTCTGTGCATTCCTCACATCTCATGCTACGGGTCACGCTTAGATCTTTTGGCATTTCTGGTTTCTTGGTGAAAAGCCTTTAAAACAGCTGTTGGAGTGAAATCAGCAGTAAATCAGAGCATTTTCCTGCAGTGTCTATCCTAAATGTGCTGTTTTATCACACTTTTGAGCCAAAGCTTTTACATGGCAGTGTTTCATTACTGAAAACTTCACATTGCTTGGACTGTGTGGATAATAAATAAGGCACATGCTACCTCTGCCAAATCCTGATCATTACCATCAAAACTCCTTTTACCATTAACGTGAAAACGAGAACTCTGGTGTGTATGTAAGCTGACCTCAAAGTGATTTTTCATTGGACAGTTTGTGGAACTATGGTCAGCATGTTCCAGCACTAACCAGTATATGTACTTGCATCTTGTCATCTTCTACTGGGTTCAAGGTGCTTCACATGTGTAAAGGATTCAAGGGAAATAACAGAGCTTGCTGTCCAATGTATATTTTCTTTACTTGATATATACATTTATGTTGACTGTTCATTCTCTTCATTGCTGCTGGGAGGCTTTTATAATGAGGCATTTACAGAAAACACATTGAATTTGTTGCCAAGGTTACAGATTTTTAAGCATTACAACTTTTACCAATTCGGAGCTACAATGCTCTTTGAAGCTGAAATGAAAGAAGGGGCGTGTGGATATGCTCATATAATACGGCTGAGACACTTGAGCATGTCTCTGATCTGCCACAGCGGGTTTCTGCTCCGGGCCACGAGAACTGACAAAAGGAACACCGCACGCGAACAGTTGACCAAATTTTCTGCCTTGTTCTCTGATTTCCCATTTTACAATCAATTTTGCAGTGGTTACCATTAACTCCTTCCTCACTACTGTGTGTGTGTTTTAAATACAACTAAATATTTTCAAGGATCCTTTAAAAAGGAAACTCTACACGGCATCATTGATCCATCTTGCTCTCCCTTTCTCTCAAGGGTCTCTCTCAATCATTCAAACACCACACCCATTTACATGTTATCCCTCACAAGACCTTCATTCATCCTTGTTTTGTGCAT